GATGTAAGCCAAAAATCAAAAAGCATGAATAAAATAAAAATTTTTAATCAATTTAAATGATTTGAATAACAAGCTGACCAATATTGAAAATCAAAATACAGTCGACATCCATTTCATCCTGGTTTTGGATTCCTCAGCAGCGCACCGACGACCCCCCCTTGTAGGAATCGAACTCAGTATGTCCGGTTCCGCACGCGAATGCTAGACCTACAGATCACTGAATCGTCATCCAATTCAGCTTCATTCAGTTCAAAACATTCCATAACCCTCATCCATAGCATGTAGCGGATAGGTTTCTCACGTCCGACATCGTTGAATCCCACTGGTCAAGACTTCTTACTAGAGCTCTAAGAGTTTTATCTTTAAACAAGTCATTTGTGAGAACATGATTATAATTAGTATAAGGAGATTTGTGAGGGCCGTAGAATTTCTATGTTCCAAATCACGAAATGATCTTCTCACTGGATGTATACTGCAAAGGAATCCTATCATAGGACGAACAAGCCATCTAGTGCTTCCAGGTTTCTTATAGTGTCCTGACTAAGAACAGTTTGTGTTTAATGTATTACTTAAAAAGGTTATCTTGTTTAAAACAGTAGTTGATAAAATTCAGTTAAAAGAAAGTAGTTTAGATTTTCAGTACCGGTAAAATTATAGGTGTTAAAGCTTCGTGCTGAGATCCTCTGAGAATTCCTCGATGAGTTCTTTAGAACACAGAGAAGTTTAACCAGCATGAATGTCCTAGAGACTTCAGCAAAATTGTTGGGTTATGTGTTAGTCACAGACTGGATGAGTGCTTACACTATTGCATGCTTTCAAAACTTGCTATATGCTAAAGGTTGGTGATAAACTTATGAATGAGTTTTGTTTTCATATATCAGCGAAACCAGAGTTATAACCTTCATTCCTACACAATGCCTATTCTCTCTAGTTTACGACATAAGTGTTGGAGAGATCAGGAGGTCTAGAAGGTGACTTGAAAATCATTATCAAGCGTTTTAGTAACAGATTTATTACTTCGTATCACATTAAATGAGCAAATTATTGTACACAATATCCATGATATTTATCTTCTTGACGCTCAAAAATCTTAAAACATCATTCATAAAACTTTATTTCACAGTTATCAATTCATACTGAGTACTAAAGATATTTGAAGTTGTAATAAGAATAATTTGTTTGCTTATGGATATTAGTTTTTTTCCTTATCACGGTTTTGGCTTAAGAGTGACTAAATTTCAATTCAACCTTCGTAGACATTGTCCAATTCAACAGTTGCTTTATGGTAATAAATTCAACAAGAAGTTTTTCAAGGTCTATTAACCAACATGAAATTATTTATAACAGTTGTAGCTCCATTTGTGTTTTTCTAAGATCAATAGCTGTTTGACATTTCTAAGTACATTATGGTGAAAAATAAGATAAAATAAATGTGTGATCAGCTCCAAAATATTACACAAAACTTGAATAAACCACTAACCAAATTTATTTAATGATGATATTTTTTGCATCAAATGTATCATTACTAAGATTAAAACAATAGATTATATAAAGATAAGCCAGATAAGATTCAATTAAATGACGTTTCTTTCATTATCATCAAACTATGAGTTATCAGAATTTAATAAAATATCCATGATTAGTTCATTTAAATAGGAACATTCGTAAATTCGTTAGGTTGACCATTGTGTTTTAATCATATGTTAATAATCGATCAATGTACAAATGGGCTATGAAACGAATCAAATTTAAATGAAAAGACCTTGGGTTCGAATCCCATATGCGGGATTGTGAATTCGCATCGTTGAAGAGTCCCTCTAGCGCTTATATATGTTTTCAATGGTGGTCTAGCTTAGATTGACTTGTGAATTCAACTGTTAAAGTACTACAATCTCTATACTAAAAATATCTCAGTGTTAAGATAATTTAATCTCAATAGTTCAACTAGATATTTGGTTATGATGGTCAACATTTATCATTTTATTGAGTCGATCTTCACTAAGTTGTTCGAAGATAGTACAGTAGTAACTTCCATTCATCAGATTATCGTGTGATTTACTGTTATCATTATTCAATAAGTACCATTTCTACATGACGATTACGAAGAATACTGATTACATTTTCTTAAATTGATTCTTTTATTTTCTTTATCCCATTGAGATTTTTTTTTAATTTTCACAATAATATTACATCATTTTGATTTGAACAAAAAAATCTCTTTTTGCCATTTGAAATTTGTCAGAACAAAAAAAACTGTCCAACTGTTCATTGTTTCTTGATTGTGAATTTAACTCATACTACTTGGATATTATGAAAAATATCTTATTTTCTAGAAAGTATAGTTACATTTTCATTCTTTACATTATACATTAGAGAAAAAATAGAGTAGTAAGTGAATAATTCATGTGACAGTTTTAAAAAGCAACTCCTCTTTCTCTTCATCACTTCCTCCTCCTCCTCTCTCTCTCTCTCTTACTTACTCCCTTCACTCTGCCAAATATTTTTTTTATGACTAAACAATCGTTTTATTTTCGCAGAAAAAACGTACTGCAAAACTTTGAATTTCTTGAAATTAAACGAAAAAAAATTGTACATCAGTGATTATTAATCAGAATTTGTCAAATCTGACTCCAAAACGCAGTAACAGTGTAATTCACAAAAAAATAATAATAAAAACATAATAGATTTCTTTGTTTCCCATATTTGCAAATAACTAAAGAGTAAGATAGAATTTACATTAGAAATACTATATTGTATAGTAACTATGCTTTGAGTTAAATATCAATATGTTTACATTAGTGTAATGATAAGTTCATGTAATAATTGAGAGTTTATTACTTAACCTCAGTGGTTTTCATAATCTGATCGTGTAGTAAGGCCTGATGATGTCTTATATTGCACAAAAAAATCGTTACTTTGAAACAAATGACTCATGAAACAGATACATGTCAGTACAAGTTTGATGTCGTTTGAGATAACTAACACTAAATTTCAATTACAAATATGTTCCATTCATACAGTTATGCGTCTAATAACCGTTAGACCTTAAAATATTGTATATATTACATCAGCGGCAATATCTGTGCATTAACAAGATTTACATTAAGGAAATTCGTGTAGTGAACAAACTGTATGTCTCCTCACATTCTCATGTGAACTGAAGAACGAATGAAAAAGCAAGAAGAGCACTGAACAAATTCCGTTGAATTTAATCTTGGTTGGAAATTATCGTTAGATTGTACATATCTCTATAATTAAGTCAAGAAAATAATGATCATGAGCTGGCTAGCAAATTATTTTATGATGAACAATTAAATTTCTGGTGATAAATAGTTTTTTGTGACGTTGACTATGTCGAAAGTGATATTATGGTCATTCCAAATCTCAAAGTCACAAAAAATATTTAAAAAAACCTAAATTTTAGCGATTTTAAGTCAGCTCTCCTTCATGACAAGCAATGATAATCCTGTGTTTCATTTCTTTTGATGTCATCTCTGTAGGCTTCCTGAAGAAATTCCTTCAAAACGGTTCCCGACGAATACAGTAAACTACGAGACATTTTACATAACATAAAGACTAGTCCGTTGTTGAATTTTGGTCAGTAGTACTGATTACTCGTTGTCTTTCTGATTTAAATAGTTAATATACAATAAAATAAATGCATGAAACATGAAAAGAACAGTATACGGAGAAAATGATTACTTACTGAAACATTTGCATCATACCTACTTATAAAAATATGAATTCGTTAGGGCTTAGATAGAGCGTATTTGTTCAAAAATGTATTTATCTTCCTAGGATACATGTTACTCACATGGTCGACCATAACAAACAATTTATTAGATTAAGATTATGGTTGGAAGTAGTCAACAGGAATACCTGGACCTTGGTTTCGTGCTACTTGGCACTCGTCAGCAAGGTGTACCTATAACCTTGAGGAACTTAATGCTCCCTGACGGATTCGATCCCGTGTCACCCAGCTTCACAGGCAGAAACGTTATCACTTAGCTATCCGGGCCTCGACTGACCTCCTGTAGGACTGATTGCCAATTAGCACGAAACGTAGATTCAGAGTTTCCTGTTGACTACCTCCAACTACCATCTTATCTCAACATAATGCACCTAGACTGGTGACCACATTGTGACGTGGTTGATACGATTCAATCTGCATTAAGAACAACATGACATACATGAAATTGATCATCACCCAGTGATCAATCAATCATAAATTTATTTCAATCCAATTGTATATAAAATTCTAAATCAAATTCTAATTTATACTAATAAAATATTAAACAATACCGCTAAAGTTCATCTACGTAACCAATGTTAGAAATGAGTAAAGTTTATTTATAAAAAAGAGTATTAAAAAGTTTAACTTACATTTTATAATAAATACAAAACATACCGTCATCAGGTGCCATAGATGAAACTAATTTAGAAAAGAATAAATCTTTTTTATATAAAGTGAGAAATAAACTAAAATAACTTCGGAATTGTTGAATCTGATTTCTGGTTTTGTTCTGTTTTGTTTTTTTAAAATAAATATCTTTACTCAGTCACATTGCAGTATGGTTACAATATTTTCTTTTTCTATGGGATAAAATTTTTTTTTCTTTTTTTCTATTTCACTACAATTTTTTTTAAAACAAAAACCAACCGGTATATTTAAATATTAATTATGACAATAATTTTCGTTACAAATGGTTGACAATCTTTCTGAAAAACAAAAAGAATTTAATCAAAGTAACTAGAATGTTTTTTATATACAAAATATTATTCATAATTAATGAAGAATTAATTCCGACTTTATTCTTTTATGTTGATTCAATAACTTTTCATTGATATAGTTTCAATTGACACATGATCTTCACCATTGAAATTACTACAATCTTTACAAAACCCCTTCTATTGTGAATTATATATATATATATATATATAAGAATATTGAAACTGATAACAATAATATGTAAAGTAATGCAAAACAAATGTTAATTTACTTGATGTACTATTAACTTTGATATTATTACTGATTGTTGAATTTTTATACAAAGTGTTAATTTGTTCAGTGTGATTATCATCAATCATTTGTGTATTGTTTAAAGTTAGATTATTCTGTTGTACAATCTGATTGCCTAAAATAGCATCAACAGTAAATTCGTTCATTTGTTTTTATATCCGGTAACAATTATAAACTATGTAGTCAATGATTTGCTTTTATCAAGTGTGCAGACTTTTTTCTTTTCGGTACTAACTAAAAGATTTCACAATCTGAACGGATTCCATAAACTTTTACTGTTTGTAATGACTGATATGTCCAGCGTTCGAATTTCGTGAGTTGGGATCGTGGAGCAGTCCCACAATAGAACGAAACGGCCATTCAGTGCATTTATGTTTTCCATGGTGGTCTAGATTCAATCGGCTCATGATCTCAACCATTGAAATTATTATTTATTTATTTAAACATATAAACATTGGTACAAGGAGACACCATATAAATCATTTGATTTATGTAAGGGCTGATATGCTCCCTGAGTACTCAAACCGAAGCAGGTTTATTTTCTTATGGTGCCATACCTCTTAACATTTCTGAACAAATTTCCCACTTCATCAGTTACTTCTATTATTAGTATTAGGAATATCACAGTCGAAAAAGAATTTACAGTTACTAATAAACATCAGATTTACGATCCTAATACAAGTTGGACATTGTCATCACATTCTGCATATATACGAATACACAGTCAACCCTCACATTTCTTTCTCTCTCTTACCATTAGTCTAGCAAGAATGTCTTACCAATTATCGTAATTATATATACTAAGTTTGACTATATCTATTATTATTAGTCGTAGTAGTGGCAGTAGTAGTAGTCACAGTATATATGAGTAATATAGTTGAAATATTAGATTGAAATTTTCATTCTTTATTAATAACATAAGTATCTATCTGTGTTTTGTATGTATAAATGGTGTATGCTTTGTATAATATCAGATTTAAACTTTAAGTGCATTATTAGGCAGAGTTAGTTATCTTTCCTTACATTCCCTAAAAAGAAGTAAATAATTAATAGGTAATGGTTTGATAATTGATTGATGAAAAGTGCTTAATATTTATTTCCTGCATGTTATAACCAATGATTTAGAAATATTAACACCTATAAGATAACTAATGATTTTGAGATGGTGGAGAAGATTTGTAGTACAGATGGATGATTTTGATGAAGTTCAATAATAGAACACCATGTGAGCATAGGTCACTCAATCAAGACAGACTCTGCGTTCAAAGTCATCTACAAGGTAAGTAGGTCTTTCAAAGACAATTATATTGCATCTTATTAAAATTGCCGAAGTAACGGCCATGAATTTGGGAAAGCCAGAATTGTATGTTCAAAAGAGAGAAGTACAATCTCTTCTTCTACCATGAACTTAATATCTCATATATTTTTTTCATACTCTTTTTCCTTTATAGCTATCTGCTTTCCATTCCATCTTCCTTAATCTTCTACTCTCAACTGGTTTATTTCTGTTTCCACGATTCTCATGATTACATTTTATCTCAATTTAAAAATTTTATCTTATCATGCTGAACCATCCTCTGCCAATTATTTTTTTGAGGAAAATTTAAGCCATTAACAACCAACTGATTATCAGTTTCCTTGTTTAAAACGTTTTTTAATACCTTTGTTTATTCTTCCTTACTGTCACCATGTCTAACAGAAATTTATCATTATTATTGCAATTATTGTCATCCTGAAAAAAAGTATATATATATATATATATATATATATATATATATACATGCGATTGTGCAGCTTTAAAATGAATTCTCCCAAAAGAGAACTCTTCACTGAACCAGTCTTTCTTATTTAGTATTTTAATGGGTGTATTCCGATTACTAAAATATAGATATATTAACATCTATAAGAAAACTAGCGTAAACGTGGACGTTACTAGTAAGTCAACTGTACCGTGTAGTGACGGGCTGACTACATTACTACGAAATATCTGTAGTTTGATTAAACATTAGCATTTTTGAAGTCGTAAGCACGATTAAAAATAATAGTTCAAGCAGACTGGAGAGAGTGTGATCATGAAATGCTAGACATTATGAAATTATTAATAATTTTTTAATTCATTCAAAGGTGTTCCGTGCTTATTTAGGGATTAATGTAAAAGTCACCTGGTTCTTTAATCAAATTTTTCATGACCTTGTGGATATCACTTATGATTCTAATACTTAGTAAAGGATTTTACATTAATCAATTAATTCATCTCTTGTACTAGTTAATAAAGACATCGTATTATTATTCTCAAAGCATGTGCAGCAACCTGTAAGCATGTACATTCAATAAATATGTGCTATGTATCTAACTTAAGAGATGTGAGACTTATTCACATGTTTTCTAATTCACATAAGTGTTAATGATCAAAAATAATTATTTAATTCATCAGTGGGATGACTGACGAAATGCTTACCTTTTTTAACATATGGCCATATTATACCTCACTTCTTTCAATTAGCAATAAATACGAATTGATCCATATATTTGTGGTCCATCAACTAGATGATACGTCCGAAAAATTCGTACAACTTGTGACAAAAAAGCGTTTACAAACATAAGATATCCGCAAAAATTAATATGAAATATATTTAGATCATAATAAAAAAGAATGATATTTTCTTGTCAATGAAGATGTTTTACACATAACGCTTAAATCATTCTACCAGATGACGTATGATGTAGTTATGATTATTCTAGGCACCCATTCATACTATAAGTAGTTGCCTTTGTTGTAAGTGTGCCTATTTGACGATTCAAACTATATTTACTAATCTATAATAAAAACGACTTTGTAGTTTATCATTAACTGCAGTTATAACTGTAACAAGTATACATAGCAAATACAATGTGACTAAAAGTAGACACCTCCATTGTTTAATTTGTAATTAATGTTGAAATGTTTTCATTTTTGTAACTATTTTAAATGATCATGTTAATTTTAATTTATTGGTTGAATTCATGAGTCAATTGAAGCTAGACCACCATGGAAAACTTGGAAGTACTGGACGGCCGTTTCGTGCTAGTACGGGACTCCTCAGCAAAGAGCATCAAAAATATTAATATACAAGTATTAATATTCACCAATTTTAACAATAAGATGCCTATACATAAAAATTCTGTTGAACAAATAAGAATATTTTATACTGCTGACTGCTGAACCGTGAAGTAAGAAATATCTAAGTTTTAATATTATGAATTGAATCAACAATAACTAATTTAAAAGACGTCTGTCGCCTTTTCTTATTCTGTTATATATATAATGTGCATTTGTGTGATTAACATCCAATTTAATATCCAGGATACCAAAATAAATCATTAATAAATGTTCTTGTCTTGATTGATTACTTGTTGAAGTCTACGATTATTTTAATTCTAACATATCTTAGTAAGTATAGTGGTTAACTCAACCGAATCATAGCGGTTTCCACTTCAGCTGTAATTACTTCATATTTAAGCTAAATAAATATATATATATAAGCAATCTATGAATGTATTACTGTTATAATAAATGAAAGCATAATTTAAGATGTATTATCTGTCTTGATAATAGCTCAGTGGCAAACGTAAGAAATACCATTCTCGACAGAATATGATTGGTTATATTGTCAGTTAGAATAATACAAGAACACTTCAAACGTTCTCATTGATAACTGCTATATGAGTCAACTGTTCATAATGAAGCCAATACGAAAACACTATTGATTCTACAATTAAACTATTTTACCAGTATGAACAAAATACAATATTTACATTGGCTTCAATTATTAGTCATGCAATTTTACATTTTTATATGGGATATATGTAAATAAACAAACATATACTAAAGATATTCTTCAAGTGCTTTGATGTTTACTATATTTTTGCAAGTATACAAATTCTTCTTCATACAGAACTTTTTTTAAAGTCTCTTACATTTTACAAGAGATTAGTAACCGAATAATGTGTAAAGTATCTGTTTTATAAGTAAACCTCGGATACTGCGGTCACAATAGCTGTAATAAAACCATTACTTAATCGAGGTAACGAAAAGACACTAAAATATTAGATAGTTGGTATATAGCTTGTGTATAGTAAATCCGCATCTAACTGTTATCTTTTCCTTTTCCATCGGATAATACATGTCACTGTGCGTTCTTTGAAAGAGAGGAATTACATGACAAATAGTACAGAGGAAGATTTGACGGCCAGCTAACAGTGATCAGAACAATGATTGATAAGGACGGAGCTTACGTATACTTACTAACGGTAAGCCTCACTAGTATATCGATTTTCTATCAGTTTATCATATATATATATATATATATATATATATATATATATATATATATATATATATATATATATATATATATTACTTTATGTGAAGAGAATAGATTATACCTAGTCATTATAGATGTGAGTATACTAGACAATACAAATCAATAGTAGTTTTTTTTAACTGAACGCTAAAAAATCATTATCGTTAAATAATAAACTATTTATAAAAATAAGTGAATAAAAATTGAATTTCTGAAGTTTCGTGACGTAGTATTAGTCACTTCTTCAGACTATCAATAGACTTTTTTAGACTTATATGAGTCTAGAAAATTTAAAGAGGCTAATCAAATATTTGGCATATATAAACATTCCCAATCATTTCAACATGATCTCATTCACTTTGATGTTGATCCTATATGAGATATGATTTTGTTTTATAATGAACAATCAGCTATTTATTTGTTGGTTGTAGCATATGTAAATTTTATGTGTTTGCTTTATAAAACACTCGGTTGGCTGAGTATTTATGTCCTCCATTCTCTTGAACGTACCGTACATCAGCTAATAGCATTTGAATAGATGAAGAAATATCTTTGAAAATTTTGTATGCTGATAACGGAGATACTATAGTCACTGAAAATAGTACTATGCTACTCTTGTTGATTAAACTTTAAAAGTTTTGGGTTCTACAAGACTAATTGGTATCTTCATGAAAGTCTTTGTTTTTTACAGTTAATCTAGACTTCATAAGAACACTTTCCAACATAGAATGCATTACCTACAAGACCTGAAATCAATTCCATTTTAATGTAAATAACTTTTTGTATCTTACTCAAACATAAAC